TCTTTGTTGTTGCTACAATTTGGACATGAAAATGGCCTTTTTAAGTTTGGGTTCCATATGAACATTGTTGGCCTATGTCTTACCTTTCCATCCATATAAAATAGACCTAAATCTGAGATCTACAGCTCTAGATATGATCCAATTATCGAATAGTGTTCCGGTTTGTATTGCACCCACATCTCTTTTCTAAGTTTGGTGATTAGTACTTAAAAGTGCATTTTTATCATGGTTTTATATCATCATTTTGCACTTGAAGTATCAATAACTCCTTAACTAAAGCATGTTTTATAATAATATATCTAATAATATAAGATACCTTTAATTTGTGGTAAATGTTCATTTTAAATGCAGGCCTATCACATTAATGAAAGGATTGATTGATGACTTTAAGAACTTAAATTGCAACGGCAAAAAGATGACCAAAATTAGAAAAGAGATGTCGGTGCAATCCAAACCGGAACACTGTTCGGTAATTGGGTCATATATGGAGCTATAGATCTCAGATTTAGGTCTACTTTACATGGATGGCAAGGTAAGATATAGGTCTACAACTTTCATATGGAGCCCAAGATCTAAAAAGGTCATTTTCAAGTCCAAATTGTAGTAACAACAAAGAAGCCCGAATCTGTCTTCCAGCCGTAGCACTATTCAGTATTTTGGCCATATCTGGAGTTCTAGAAGTCCAAATGACCTAAATGTTTTACACAAGAAAGCTGAGACAATTGCCTACAACTTTCATGTTTTCAAGTGGCTCCAATTTTGATGATATCAATGACGTTTTGGGCAGACAAGAGAAGATAAGGATTGTCACCAAGTCAAGAGTTGGCCACCCACTCATCAATTAGTCATCAAATCAATAGTTCCCAATTTTGGCCTATAAAAGGAGGCATTTGCCATGCATTTAGGCATCTTGGTTTCCAGATCAAGATCATGATTTAGGCATCTTGGTGCATTTGCCATGCATTTAGGCATCTTGGTCTCCAGATCAAGATCATGCTCTTGCTTTCTTTCTTTGTATTTTTTGTTATATTTATGCTTTGCTTTCATTAATATCAAGTTTATGCCTTTCATTTCCTTTCCTTTACTTAGTTAACTCTTATCTTCTTTATGTTCTTATGTTGTTTATTTATTTTTCTTTCTTTTATTATGTCTAGCTAAGTTTATTATGTCAAGGTGAAAAAGTTACACTAATGGTGTAAGAATAAGTATAGTGTAAACTCAATATGGACTTTAATGTTTGATACTAACATGTTTTGTATTTGTTATCTTATTCACTCTTTAATACTTTGCTTGTTAAATGACTAATCTTGATTTATGTTGTATAGCACTTGGTACAACAAATGCTTGGCACTTTCATAGTTCATACTGTATGGTATAACCGACACCTGAGCTATGAAAGGAACTTGATTTGTTGTTAACATAAGTTATAATCATGAATGCTTGACGAGATTTACAAGTATTAGCATTAATTGAATAAGATGACTAATGTAATCATGTTAACAATCTATAATCTGATTGGAACCTCCTTTATGTGTGGTTTCTAATTGAATAATAAGAGTTTATATTATACTTGTTTGACATACCATTAGTGGAACCTCTAACCTTGAAATTTGTTATTATTATTGTTTAATCCTTACATTAACTTTCCATCTCCAAGTTCTCATCATCTTCTTCTTCTTCTCTTTCTTTATTATTATTATTATATTATTATTATTATTATTACTACTACTACTACTACTACTACTATTATTATTATTGTTGTTTTTGTTGTTGTTGTTGTTGTTGTTGTTTTTGTTATTGTTGTTGTTATTTTATAATTGTTGTTTATAATTTGTACAATTAACCTCCTTGTGGTTTGACCCCGGTCTTGCCGTGTTATTTATTACTTTGACACTCCTGCACTTGGGAGAAGACATCAATCTTTCGTCGTGTCAAGTTTTTGGCGCCATTGCCGGGGAGGTAAGTTTTGTATAAATTATAATATTTATTTTATTTTCTCTTTTCACTTTTCTTGTATATAATTTTGTTTCTTTTCTCTTGTTTCTTCTTCTTTTGTTTTCTTCTTCTTTTTATTCTATTCTTACACGTGCATGAGAGTGTGGTCACGTACATCAAGTGGTAGACTTTGTAGGGTATCCTCATCATTATCAGAAAATATGGCCGAAGAAGATAATCAATCACTTCATAATGAGAATAATGAGAATAACCGTGCTAGAACACTTCGAGACCACATGAATCCCACAAGAACAAGTGCACTATCATGTATAGTTTTTCCTCCCGATGCATCTCATTTTAATTTTAAACTAGGTATTATTCAACTTTTACCTTCTTTTCATGGCTTAGAATTAGAAAATCCATACTTGCATTTAAGGGAATTTGAGGAGGTCTGCAACACATATAATAATTTAAATTGTAGCATGAACACCATCAGATTAAAGCTTTTTCCTTTTTCATTAAAAGATAAAGCTAAAACATGACTATAAAATTTAAGACCAGGATCCATTCGTGCTTGGGATGAAATGCAACAACAGTTTTTAAAGAAGTTTTTTCCATCTCATCGAACAAACTCTTTCAAAAGACAAATCACTACTTTCACTCAAAAACCAGGAGAAACATTTTACCAATGTTGGGATAGGTATCGAGACTTGCTTAGTACTTGCCCTCATCATGGTTTTGAAACATGGAGATTGATTTCACATTTTTATGAAGGGTTAACACCTAGAGATAGGCAAATGGTTGAATTGATGTGCAATGGAACTTTTGAAGATAAAGACCCTGATGAAGAAATGGAGTACTTAGACTTGTTAGCTGAAAATGCTCAAAATTGGGACACTGCAGGTACGTATGAGGCACCGAGTAAAACTCAACCTCATACATCTAGTGGAGGTATATACAACCTTAGGGAAGATCATGAGCTTCAAGCCAAGTTTGCATCTTTAGCTAGAAAAGTCGAGGCACTAGAATTGAAAAAGAGTGGTCAATTAAAATTTGTTGAAAACATTGTGTGTCAAATCTGTGAAACAAATGAACAATCAACCAACGATTGTCCAACCTTGCCTTCTTTTAAGGAATGTCTCCATGAACAAGCCCATGCTTTAAACAGTTTCCAAAGGGTCAACCACAACCCATACTCACAAACATACAACCCTGGTTAGAGAAATCACCTAAATTTTAGTTGGAAGAGTGAGAACAACAATGCACAAACTTCACAACCACCATTTCAAGCACACCACAATTTCCAAAATTCTCATGGATATGCACCTCCTTGTGCTCCACCTTCTAGAAGAAATCTTGAGGAAATATTGCATGCATTCATTGAAAAGCAAGAGACAATCAATACTCAACTTGCTCAAAACATGACAGATTTTAAAGATACTCTTGCAAAATTAACGTCTGCTCTCAGTTTCCAAGAGAAAGGTAAGTTTCCATCTCAACCACAACAAAATCCCAAGGGGCAATACAATGCAAATGCAAGTAGTTCCGGAAGCCAACACATGGATCACGTCAAATCAGTCACTACTCTGCGCAGTGGTAAGGTTATTGAAAAACCCTCTGTTGAACCTTATGAGAAAGATGATGAGTCAATCTCTGAGGGTAAGGAAGGGGTTGAATTTGAAAATTGCAAAGAAAAGACTGATTCTCCGCCAGCACTTCCATTTCCTCAAGCCATGACCAAACAAAGGAAAGTCAATCACAACTCTGAAATTTTTGAAATTTTCAAACAGGTAAGGATCAATATACCTTTGCTGGATGCTATTAAACAGGTTCCTTCCTATGCTAAATTTTTGAAAGATCTATGCACTGTGAAGAGGAAACTGAATGTGAAAAAGAAAGCCTTTCTAGCCGAACAAGTAAGTGCTATTCTTCAAAACAATAATGCTTTGAAATATAAAGACCCTGGTTGTCCTACAATTTCTTGCTTTGTTGGAGAGCATAAAATTGAAAGAGCCTTACTTGATCTCGGTGCTAGTGTGAATTTACTTCCATATTCAGTTTTTCAGAGTCTCAATCTAGGTGAGTTAAAACCAACTTCTATAACTCTTTTACTTGCCGATAGATCTGTAAAAGTGCCTAGAGGAATAATTAAAGATGTGTTAGTACAAGTCGATAAATTCATTTATCCTGTGGATTTTATTGTCTTGGACACACAACCTGTTGAAGTATGTAATTCATTTCCTGTTATTTTAGGACGTCCATTTCTTGCAACTTCTAATGCATTGATTAATTGTAGGAATGGACTGATGAAGCTATCATTTGGAAACATGACATTGGAGATGAATATTTTCAACATTTGCAAGCAACCTAGAGATGATAATGATTTACAGGAAGTGGACTTTACTGAAAAATTAATTCATGATCAATTTCCAACCACTTCCAGTGAAATTGAGATTGATGAATCTGATGATTTGCAAATGATTTATTTTCAGGAAGAATCAAAGACAAGTAATTGGAGGCCATAAATTGAGGAATTGCCACCACGATCAATTAAGTCCATACCTTCAAGTGTTCAACCACCAAAACCTAATTTGAAGCCATTGCCATCCAATCTCAAATACTCATTTTTGGGAGAAAATGAAACTTTTCTGGTAATAATCTCTTCCAAACTTAATGCACATCAAGAAGGTAAGTTATTACAAACTCTGAAAATGCACAAAAATGCATTAGGATGGACCATAGCTGATATAAAAGGAATTAGTCCTTTGATTTGTACACATAGAATTTATTTAGAGGAAAATGCTAAACCCTCTAGAGAAATGCAACGAAGGCTAAATCCTAATATGAAAGAAGTAGTGAAAAATGAAGTCATTAAGCTTCTAGATAATGAAATCATTTATCCTATTTCTGACAGCAAATAGGTAAGTCCTACCCAAGTTGTACCCAAGAAGTCTGGAGTCACTGTGATAACAAATGAGAACAATGAGTTAATTCCCACTAGAACTGTTACTGGTTGGCGCATGTGCATTGACTATAGGAAACTTAATTCAATGACTAGAAAAGATCATTTTCCTTTACCTTTCATGGATCAAATCCTAGAAAGAGTTGCAGGTCATGAATTTTATTGTTTCCTAGATGGCTATTCGGGTTACTACCAAATTGAAATTGCATTGGAAGATCAAGAAAAGACTACTTTTACATGTCCATTTGGTACTTTTGCATATCGAAGGATGCCTTTTGGATTATGTAATGCACCAGCCACATTTCAAAGATGCATGCTTAGTATATTTAGTGATATGGTTGAACATTTTCTTGAGATTTTCATGGATGATTTTTCTATTTTTGGCGATTCATTTGATGATTGTTTGACTAACTTAGAAAAGGTTTTGACCAGGTGTGAAGAGAAGAATCTTGTGCTGAATTGGAAAAAATGCCATTTTATGGTAACAAACGGCATCGTACTTGGTCACATTGTTTCATCAAAGGAATTGAGGTTGACAAATCTAAAATCGAGTTAATTGCAAACTTGCCAACACCAAAATCTCTTAAAGACGTTAGATCATTCCTAGGACATGCTGGTTTTTATAGAAGGTTCATCAAAGATTTTAGTGTAATATCTAAGCCTTTAAGTAACCTTCTAACAAAGGATACTATTTTTGAATGGACTGAACATTGTGAAGAAGCCTTTGTTAAACTTAAAAACTTGCTTACTTGTGCTCCTATCATTCAACCTCCTGATTGGTCATTACCTTTTGAAATAATGTGTGATGCTAGTGATTATGCCGTAGGTGCTGTTTTGGGACAAAGAAAAGATAAGAAACCTTATGTAATTTACTATGCAAGTAAAACTTTAACTAGTGCTCAAACAAATTATACCACCACTGAAAAAGAATTACTTGCAGTAGTATTTGCATGTGAAAAATTCAGATCTTATCTTGTTGGCTCACCTGTTGTTGTTTTTAGTGATCATGCAGCATTGAAATATCTTCTTTCTAAGAAAGATTCTAAGGCTAGATTGGTACAATGGATTTTATTACTTCAAGAATTTGATATCACAATCAAAGATAAGAAAGGCAGCGAAAATGTTGTCGCAGATCACTTGTCAAGATTGACAACAGATTCGAAAGCTGACATCACACCAATCGATGACAACTTTCCCAATGAATCTTTACTTTCTATCTCTACAATGCCTTGGTTTGCTAATATTGTCAATTTTCTTATTTCAGGACAATTGCCAGCTCATTGGAGTACCCAAGATAAAAGAAAGTTCTTGAACGAAGTGAAGAACTTTTATTGGGATGATCCTTATTTATTCAAATATTGTCCTGATCAAATATTTCGAAGATGCATTCCTGACGATGAGGTAAGTAGTGTCATTAAATTTTGTCATTCTGAGGCATGTGGGGGCTATTTCTCGTCAAGAAAGACAACCACAAAAATCTTACAAAGTGGATTTTATTGGCCCACCATGTTCAAAGACTCACATGCATTCTACAAGTCTTGTGAAAATTGTCAAAAGTTGGGATCTATTTCAAGACGTCACATGATACCTTTAAATCCTATTATTGTCATTGAGATCTTTGACTGTTGGGGTATAGATTTTATGGGTCCATTCCCTCCATTATTTGGTTTCTTATACATATTAGTTGCAGTAGATTATGTTTCAAAATGGATAGAGGCAATTCCAAGTCGAAACAATGATCACAAAACAATGATAAAGTTTTTGAAAGAAAATATTTTGAGTCGATTTGGAATCGCTCGAGCCATAATAAGTGATGGTGGAACACATTTCTGCAACAAGCCATTTGAGTCTTTAATGAAAAAAATATGGAATCACACACAAAGTTGCCACCCCTTATCACCCTCAAACAAGTGGACAAGTAGAGCTTGCTAATAGGGAGATCAAACATATTTTGGAGAAAATAGTGAACCCTAATAGGAAAGACTGGTCTTTAAGACTTAATGATGCACTTTGGGCTTATCGAACTGCTTATAAAACATCATTAGGTATGTCACCTTATAGACTAGTCTATGGAAAGCCTTGTCACTTGCCTGTGGAACTTGAACATAAAGCTTATTGGGCTATTAAAGCTTTCAATTCAAATCTGGATGATGCTAGTCAACTGCGAAAATTACAAATAAATGAGCTTGAGGAAATAAGAAATGATGCATATGAAAATTCAAGAATTCATAAAGCAAGAATTAAAGAGTTTCATGACAAGAAAATACTGAGAAAAACATTCAATGTTGGTCAAAAAGTCTTGCTTTATAATTCTCGACTGCATTTATTTCCTGGAAAATTAAGATCAAGATGGAGCGGTCCTTTTATTGTGAAACATGTGTATCCATATGGGGCCTATGACATCGAGAATCCAAATAATGACAATGTTTTCAAGGTAAATGGACATCGTCTGAAAGTTTACATTGACAATTTTTCAGTTGAACATGACTCTATTGAATTGGGTGATCCTGTATATAAAGATTGATTTTTTTTTCTTTTTGGGTGATGTTTGCTAGTTTCTCTCACCCCGGTCAAATGGCGGATAACGGTACTCCGTGACTTAAGTCGGTTCTTTCAGTTTCCCACAATAACTGATATCTGTGTATATATTTGTGCAATTCTTTGAATCTCTCTTCCAATTCTCATTTGAAAATGGACACTAATCTTGAAAAATTGAAAAATTATTTTCCCGCTCTATCTCAAAATGCGATTACAAAAATTTACCGTGCTAGATGTGCAAGATTGAGATTGTTAATGAATCATGGAATTCCTGAAGATATTCGCTGGTTGATTGAAGCAAAGGTCCGATTATCAGGTGAGTCCTCTAATTTCTTTATTTCACACATGCCTGGAACAGGTAAAAGCACTTTTGCAAAGAAACGTCGTGCAAAACGACTAGAAGTCTGTCATCGATGTGCTAGATGGACTTGTAATACACAATGTCGTTCTTTAGGAATGGTATCTATAAACCGTGAAGATAAAATACAATTCATTAAGGATGGCCTGAGTAAGGAGTCTTTAGATAATCTTTTATGGACTCTTGAGACGCATCCTAGTGGAGATATGCATCGTGTAATTCATGATTTATGGCCACTATTTCATAAAGAACATGATCGACTTAGTCTTGGGAATCTGACTAAAAAAGACCCTGTTTGCCAGTTTTTAAGAAAACTGGATGGGAAGCCTATCCCCGACCCATAGAGGGCGTTTAAGCCGTTCTTGGATGTAAAACCAAGGGAAGATGTGAGCCACAATCACAACTACCTGTACATACACATGCTTTTTCAAAAGTAAATAAATAAATAAATAAATAAAAAGAGAGAGAGAGAGTGTGAGACTCCAGCTGGTCTCCATATAGGTGGTATGATTGCCCTTTGATTGTGCATCAAAAGTGTCATTAAGTCTCTTATTTTACATATGTTTTTATTGTTTTTATTTGGTTTTTTTTTATAATAATTGATGTGCTTTTCAGTAATGAAGTTTGTTTTAATGTTTCGATAGGTTTTTGGAGCTTAAATGAATTAATTCAGGAAATTCAACGTCGGAATTCAGAACAAAGAATTGAAGAGACATTTAGTTGAAGATTGAAGCAAATCTTGGTTATAATAAGTGCTCCAAATTTGTCCCAAAAATCAATTCTATTCCAATTCTAGAAAAGAATATCATATGATCTATTTTAAGCCCAAACTTGCCTTATGTTGTGTGCAAACTTCAACCATTAAACACTCAAGGTTTCAATGTCAATCTTAGCCCAAATAATAGGTATATTTGTATACTTATTTGATGCTTAAATTCAGCCCTAAATCAGCCCCAAATCAACCTTCAAATCAGCCCAAACACAATTCATGATCTTACATGTCCACACAACAACAATTGATTTATTTTGGGTAATCCATTGATCCAAGAAGGCAAGCACATGGATGGAAAGCTGGAGGGGACATTTTTACATTATTTTGGGTCAAAAAGAAGAAAGAGATAGCTCATAAATGAGGAAGAAAAACGTGCACCAAAGTGGTTGCAAAGTTGTCCTGATTTGATTTTTCAGAACACCTTTTGGTGTTTTACCCATAACTTTTGACTCAGGTGTCCAAATGCGCTGTTCTTTAATGATCTGGAAAGGTGACGAAATTTCCTATAAATACGTCTCTAATAGACTTTTACAGAGGAGGCTTCTAGGAGGGTCAAATTGCTGTCCAAAGTTAGAGTTAGATTTGTGTCTGAATTTTTTCTGAAATTGTGTTGTGTTCTTCTTTATAGATTTTGGTTCTTTAGTTTGTGAAACTTATTATTTCAGTTTAATTCAAGTTATTTCATATTTATTGAAGTGTTCTTATATATAATCATGGTTGGCTAAACTCTTTCTTGGATCCAAATCAAGGATAATGGTGATTGAGGTGAGTTCTTTAGGATATGAATGAATCTTAATGTTTATATTCTCATTTTCTTCATGAATGATTTATTATTGCAAAGAAATTTTAGAAATCATTTAGGTAATGTTATAATCTTGAATTTTTATGCACAAACTTTAGTTTTGGTATAGAGATTGCTTGATTCAATGTCTTACTTAATATGAAAGTACTTGTTCATTCTTAAGCAATAATCAATCTTCATCTTTCTAAACTTCATTGTAATATCTTTCGATCTAATATCACCATCGTTGATATTAGGTTGAGTTATCTTATATATGTTGAAGGAATCACCAATACATCACCATTAAAATTGATTTGGACCAAGACTTACTTTTTCTTGTCATTTAAAATCTATTTACACTTTTTCATCTTTGAAAACAAATCCATCAATTATTTTCAACCAAGTTATTATTAATTTAATTTCTCTTGAGTTTTTTTTTTGTTACCTAGCTTAATTTCCAGATCTAGCTCTCTGTGGATATGACCTCAATCTTACCGAGTTAATTGCTACATCGCACACTCGTGCACTTGCGAGTTAAAACAAGCCGATCATAAAAAGCGGTCAAGCAATTTTGGCGCCATTGCCGGGGAGCTAGCAAGCAAAGGTAACAAATTTAGATTTGATTATTGGAAAAAAACAAAAAAAATCATATATAAAAAATCAATTGGCTAGTTTTACCGCCTCAAAAAAATTGAAAAAAAAAATCAAATGGCTGGTTTTACCGCCTTAAAAAATTGACCTCATCTTTTCGGATATTGGACTGTTGGACTACTAATTGTTAGCTTTTGTTTGGTTCAACCATTTTTCTTTTGATGTTTATTCTAATTAGTTTATAATATTTATTGTTTATATTGTAAGGCTGGTTTTACCGCCTCTTGTTTATTTTATTTTATCTAGTTGTATTGTTATTATTTTTTTTTTTGTACTTGGCTGGTATTACCGCCTTTTGTTTATTTTATTATTTTTTTTATTGTGATTATTTTTCTTATATTTATTGTTTGAAGTACTTGGCTGGTATTACCGCCTCTTTATTCATGCTTGTTATAATTGTCTTTTAATGTTTATTATTGTTAATATTGCTTATTAGTTGAAGTGTGAATTTTCTAATTTGTTGTATTTTTATTTTTGAGCTATTACTTTATCTTTTACATTTCATTTACTTTTATTTGCAATCTTCTTTTTCTTTTTTTTTCCCTTTCTTTTCATATTCATATAATTGTTATATTATTATTATTTTTTTCATCATGGCTAATGTTGAAGATATAGAGGGTGAAGGGAGTGTTCAAGGCAATGGACCTCCACAATTCAATGATCAACCTAATTTTCGAACTCTTAGAGAGTATCTTCACCCAGCTAGACAAAGTACACCTTCGTGTATTATCTTGCCTCTAAACCAATAAGCTTTCAATTTGAAACCAGGCATGATCCAACTTCTTCCCACATATCATGGTATGGATTCTGAAAATCCATATATACACATTAAGGACTTTGAAGAGGTATGTAATACTTTTATTGATAGAACATGCACTGAAGAAACACCATTTCTCATTCAAGTGGGAAGTTTTAATTGAAAGAGACTGATGATCTCAATGCTAGATTAGCCTCATTGGCTAGGAAAGTAGAGTCTCTTGAGATTAAAAAAGTGCATGTCATGAGTGAACAACAAGAGGAAAGTTGTGTTGTTTGTGAGAGCAAAGGGCATAAGACAACTGAGTGTCCTACCATTCCAGCCTTCAAGGAAGTGCTATATGGCCAAACTTCTGATTCAAGTAATGTTAAAAAGCCATTTCCAAACCAAGTAGGCAATCCCTACTCTGAAACCTATAATCCTGGATGGAGGAACCACCCAGATTTTGGATGGAGAAATGAGGGCTCTTCAGTACCTCAAACATTTCAACCTCCACCCCAACCATTTCATGCTCCCACACATAACACATACCAACCACCTCATAAGAGATCCCTAGAGGATACTCTTCAACAATTCATGCAAACGCAAGGAGGAATCAACAACCAAGCTTACGAATTCCAAGACCAGACCAATAGGACCTTAGATGACATTCGAAGTCAACTAACTAAGTTGACTCAATCACTAAGCATTCAAGAGAAGGGAAAAATCCCAGCTCAAGCAATGCCCAATCCTAGAGGTCAGGTACACATGAGTGAATCCTCACCTAGTGAACCTTTAAACCATGAACAAGTCCAAGCAATCACTACCCTTAGAAGTGGAAAGATTGTTGACAAAGGTATAGGTTTTAGGATTCCTAAAGGTATTGTGGAGGAGAAATCTAGGGAAAGTGAAGAGGGAATCAAAACACAAGTGACAAATGAGAGTTTGAGTGACAAAGAAGGTGAGATAAATGAGAAAGAGATGAGTGAGAAAGGAGATGATTCAAGAAAAATTGGAGTCAAAGTGAGTGATTTAGAATTTGTTCCTAGAGCACCATTTCCACAAAGGTTAGGGAAACCTAAACAAGATCTTATGAACTCAGAAATCTATGAATTGTTCAAACAAGTGAAAGTCAATATTCCACTCCTTAATGCAATTAAACAAGTTCCATCTTATGCAAAGTTTCTTAAGGATTTATGCACAGTCAAAAGGAGATTGAATGTGAAAGAAAGAGCTTTTCTGACTGAACATGCTAGTGCCATCATCCAGTTTAAGACCCCTCCCAAATACAAAGATCCTGGTTGTCCTACCATTTCATGCATTATTGGAAGTCATAAGATAGATCAAGCTTCGTTGGATTTAGGAGCAAGTGTGAATTTAATACCCTACACTGTTTACGAACAATTAGGTTTAGGTGAAATCAAGCCTACTCAAATCACCCTTCAATTAGCTGATAAGTCAATCAAGATTCCCAGGGGTATAGTTGAGGATGTGTTGGTCCAAGTAGATAAATTCTACTTTCCTGTTGATTTTGTAGTGTTAGATACCGCACCAATTCAAGGTTCTAATGCTCCCATCCCAGTCATTTTAGGGAGACCTTTCCTAGCTACATCCAATGCCTTAATTAACTGTAGGAATGGGGTGATGAAATTATCTTTTGGGAATATGACTGTGGAGATGAACATATTCAATGTCTCCAAACAAATTGGGGAACATGAGGACATTAGAGAGGTAGATTTTATCCAAACAGTTTGTCAAGAACACTTTGAGAGAGTGTGGATCAAAGATCCATTGGAGAGAACTTTAATTCATGATGAAAGATTTTGTTCTTTGGAATATGTTGATGAGGAAGTAAGAGAACTCGAGACTTATCTAGATCCAATGCCTATTATGTCAATAGGTCAATGGACCCCATTGTTTGAGCCTTTGATTTCACCCCATGTGAAAGTTGAGGCATCTCTTGTCCAGCCTTATAAACCAGAAAGGAAGCCTTTACCGAGTGATCTTAAGTATGCATTTCTAGGGGAAGATGAATCATATCCTATTGTGATCTCATCAAAACTTAGCATAGAGCAAGAACAAAAACTTTTGAGAGTGGTGAGAAAACACAAGAAAGCAATTGGGTGGAAAATTACTGACTTGAAAGGAATTAGCCCTCTTTTATGTACACATAGAATCTATCTTGAAGAAGAGGCTCAATCTGTGAGGCAAATGCAAAGACGATTGAACCCAAACATGAAGGAAGTAGTGAGAGGTGAAGTGCTTAAGCTACTTGATGCAGGTATCATTTACCCTATTGCAAACTCAAAATGGGTTAGTCCAACCCAAGTTGTCCCAAAAAAATCTGGAGTCACGGTAGTGAAGAATGAAAATAATGAGCTGGTACCAACTAGAATCCAAACTGGATGGCGTATGTGCATTGATTATCGTAAATTGAACATGGTGACTAGGAAGGACCATTTTCCGCTTCCATTTATAGACCAAGTGCTTGAAAGAGTAGCTGGAAGAGCTTTCTATTGTTTTCTTGATGGATACTCAAGTTACAACCAAATTGAGATTTCTTTAGAAGACCAAGAAAAAACCATTTTCACTTGTCCTTTTGGTACATATGCTTATAGAAGAATGCCTTTTGGTTTGTGTAATGCACCAGCCACTTTTCAAAGGTGTATGATGAGTATCTTTAGTGACATGGTGGAAAATTTTTTGGAAGTTTTCATGTATGATTTTTCAGTTTATGGGGATTCTTATGAGTTGTGTCTAATGCATTTAGAAAAAGTCCTTGAAAGATGTGAAGAGAGCAATCTTGTACTCAATTGGGAGAAATGTCATTTTATGGTGACACATGGCATTGTCTTAGGTCACATTGTCTCTTCAAAAGGAATAGAGGTAGATAAGTCAAAAGTGGAAATCATTCAAAAATTACCTACCCCTAGGACTGTGAAAGATGTGAGATCCTTTTTAGGACATGCTGGTTTTTATCGAAGATTCATTCATTTTTTTAGTACCATTGCCAAACCATTGTGTAACTTGTTGTCACAAGATGTCCAATTTGATTGGACATCAAAATGTCAAGAAGCTTTTGAAAAGCTTAAAGGGTTGTTGACAACTGCACCAATCATGCAAGCTCCTGATTGGTCTTTACCATTTGAACTGATGTGTGATGCTAGTGATTTTGCGGTTGGGGCTGTTTTAGGGCAAAGAAAAGACAAGAAACCTCATGTCATATATTATGCTAGCAAGACTTTGAATAATGCTCAATTGAATTACACTACAACTGAAAAAGAACTCTTAGCTGTGATCTTTGCATTAGACAAGTTTAGGTCTTATTTGGTTGGATCTCTTGTTATTGTTTTCACTGATCATGCAGCATTGAAATATTTGCTCACAAAACAAGATGCCAAGCCACATTTGATTCGATGGATCCTCCTACTCCAAGAGTTTAACCTGGAAATTCGAGATAAAAAGGGAGTAGAGAATGTAGTGGCTGATCATTTGTCTCGTCTTTCAAGCTATGAGACCATAATTGATGAATCTCCAATAAATGAACTCTTTGCTGATGAAAATTTATTTTGTGCAGGTACTGTCTCCTACATTGGTTCTCCATGGTATGCTGACATAGCAAATTACCTAGCCACAAGTCAGATTCCTTCTCATTGGTCTAAACTTGACAAACAAAAATTCTTGCGCAATGTGCGCACCTTTTTTTAGGATGACCCCTACCTATTTAAATACTGTCCTGACCAAATTATTAGGCGGTGCATCCCTGATCATGAAATTTCAAGTGTCATTAATTTTTGTCATGCATTAGCTTGTGGTGGGCATTTCTCTTCCAAGAAAACCATTGCCAAAATCTTGCAGTGTGGTTTTTATTGGCCCACCATGTTTAAAGATGTTCATGCCTTCTGTGTTGCATGTGACCGATGCCAACGCCTAGGTAGCCTCACTAGGCGTAACATGATGCCCCTTAACCCCATCCTTGTTTTGGAAATATTTGATTGTTGGGGGATTGAATTCATGGGACCTTTTCCAAGTTCATTTGGTTACCAATTCATCCTTGTAGCTGTTGATTATGTGTCTAAATGGGTGGAGGCCATTGCATCTCGAACCAATGACCATCGAGTTGTGGTCAAATTCTTGAAAGAAAATATTTTCTCTCGTTTTGGCATGCCCCAGGCTATGATTAGTGATGGGGAAAAACATTTTTGTAACAAACCCGTTGGGATTTTAATGAGAAAATATGGTGTAATTCACAAGGTCAGTACCCCCTATCACCCACAAACTAGTGGCCAAGCTGAGTTGGCAAATAGGGAGATCAAGAACATTTTAGAGAAAACAGTCAATCCAAACCGTAAAGATTGGTCCCTACAACTAGTTGATGCTTTGTGGGCATATCGCACTGCTTATAAGACCTCTTTAGGAATGTCTCCTTATAGGCTAGTTTATGGAAAGCCTTGTCATCTCCCTATTGAGATTGAGCACCATGCATATTGGGCCATTCGGCAATTCAATGACAATGAAAATGAGGTTGGCAAAAATAGAAAGCTTCAATTGGATGAATTAGAGGAGTTGAGAAATGATGCATTTGAAAATGCAAAAATTTCAAAACATAAGATGAAAACTTTGCATGATAAACATATTCTTAGAAAATCCGTTCATGTTGGTTAAAAGGTTCTCTTGTATAATTCACGATTACATCTCTTTCCTGGGAAGTTTAGGACAAAATGGATTGGTCCATTTGTGATTAAATCCATCTCTGAGCATGGTGCATTTGAGGTAGAAAATCCCAAGAATGGAAATATTTTCAAAGTAAATGGTCATTGATTGAAACCTTATCTTGAAAACGTTGTGGCTGAAGTTGAGACATTGGATCTTGAAGATCCAATACCATTGTAGTATCAGAAGTAATGAGTTTTTTATTTTTATTTTTATTTTTTTCTTCTTTCTTCCATCTCTTATATTTTCTTGTTCATGCATTCGGGACAATGCATTATTTTAAGTTGGGGGGTGTGAGGTTTTTTATTTTCAAAAAAAAAAAAAAACATCAATGTTTTCTTTTAGTTGTGATATGCAGATTAAAAAAAAAAATCAAGCAAGAAGTCAGCTCATGCCCAATTCAATCAGACATTCATCCTTGAAAACAGAAGGGGAGTAACAATTTTCTAATCTTTATACTTTTCTTCTCTTTCTCTTTTACATTGAGGATAATGTAAAACTTAATTTTAGATATTTCATTATGTTGAATGCTTGAGATAACCATGCTTCTTAAAAAAAAAAAAACTTGCATTCGTATGTGAATGAGACTTGTTTAGGATCATCATTATATTTTTGGATTCATTATTATGTTGAACATTGCATGCTTTAATTTGGGATAGATAATATCTTATAAAGCAAGATATAGCATACTTTTTTTTAAGATTACTGAAGTACATCTTTCCTTGTAAAAGTTGTGTGAGTTGTGTGATTATGCATGAAAGATGAGTATGATGCTTTACTTATGATTATCCCTTTTGATCCAGTCCTAAACAAGGTTTAAGTAAATAGAGTAATAATTATTACACAAATAAATAAATAAATGTGTACAAAGTTCTATCTACTCCAATGTTTTGAGTTGCTCAGTAACTAGGGGTATTCATCACAAATGTTTATCTTTACGTCAAACGACAGCTTAAAATATGAGTATGCAAAGCACTTTAAGTTTGTGACTTTGTGAGTAACCGGGTGCATTCATCACAAATGTTTGTATTCGCGTCAAAAGGGAAGTGACTACTTAAAGACAAAGAATAAATCATATCTTCAAAAAAAAAAAAAACAAAGAAAGAAAAAAAGAAAGAAAAAAAATATATAGATATTTCTCTAGTTTGCTACCTTGTTTGTGTTGGTGAGAAGGGAAGATTACAAGTTGAGTTTTCGTATGAATCAATTATGTTGGTTGCACGATAAATATGACTGAATTTGGAAATTTTGTATGGATGTTTGATTTAGAGAATGTGAGTATGCTTATTTTTCTTTATTTGCTATTGTGTACACTAAGTTAAAGATACCAATGTTTGCATGATAGGTCCTTCAAGTGTGATGAATCGAGCCTAATTAGGATTGTTATTATTCTTTTTATTTCAAAGGTTTTATGTTTTGTTTTGCTTGAGGACTAGCAAAATCTAAGTTGGGGGGTGTGATTATGCATCAAAAGTGTCATTAAGTCTCTTATTTTACATATATATTTATTGTTTTTATTTGGTTTTTTTTATAATAATTGATGTGCTTTTCAGTAATGAAGTTTGTTTTAATGTTTCGATAGGTTTTGGAGCTTAAATGAATTAATTCAGGAAATTCAACGTCGGAATTCAGAACAAAGAATTGAAGAGACATTTAGTTGAAGATTGAAGCAAATCTTGGTTCAAATAAGTGCTCCAAATTTGTCCCAAAAATCAATTCTATTCCAATTCTAAAAAAGAATATCATATGATCTATTTTAAGCCCAAACTTGCCTTATGTTGTGTGCAAACTTCAACCATTAAACACTCAAGGTTTCAATGTCAATCTTAGCCCAAATAATAGGTATATTTGTATACTTATTCGATGCTTAAATTCAGCCCCAAATCAGCCCCAAATCAACCTTCAAATCAGCCCAAACACAATCCATGATCTTACATGTCCACACAACAACAATTGATTTATTTTGGGTAATCCATTGATCCAAGAAGGCAAGCACATGGATGGAAAGCTGGAGGGGATATTTTTACATTATTTTGGGTCAAAAAGAAGAAAGAGATAGCTCATAAATGAGGAAGAAAAACGTGCACCAAAGTGGTTGCAAAGCTGTCCTGATTTGATGTTTCAGAACACCTTTCGGTGTTTTGCCCATAACGTTTGACTTAGGTGTCCAAATGAGCTTTTATTTAATGATCTGGAAAGGTGACAAAATTTTCTATAAATATGTCTCTAATAGACTTTTCCAGAGGAGGCTTCTAAGAGGGTCAAATTTCTGTCCAAAGTTAGAGTCAGATTTGTGTCCGAATTTTTTCTGAAATTGTGTTGTGTTCTTCTTTATAGATTTCGGTTCTTTAGTTTGTAAAACTTATTATTTCAGTTTAATTCAAGTTATTTCATGTTTATTGAAGTGTTCTTATATATAATCATGGTTGGCTAAACTCTTTCTTGGATCCAAATCAAGGATAATAGTGATTGAGGTGAGTTCTTTAGGATATGAATGAATCTTAATGTTTATCTTCTCGTTTTATTCATGAATGATTTATTATTGCAAAGAAATTTTAGAAATCATTTAGGTAATGTTATAATCTTGAATTTTTATGCACAAACTTTAGTTTTGGTATAGAGATTGCTTGATTCAATGTCTTACTTAATATGAAAGTACTTGTTCATTCTTAAGCAATAATCAATCTTCATCTTTCTAAACTTCATTGTAATATCTTCTGATCTAATATCACCATCGTTGATATTAGGTTGAGTTATCTTATATATGTTGAAGAAATCACCAATACATCACCATTAAAATTGATTTGGACCAAGACTTACTTTTTCTTGTCATTTAAAATCTATTTACACTTTTTCATCTTTGAAAACAAATCCATCAATTATTTTCAACCAAGTTATTGTTAATTTAATTTCTCTTGAGTTTTTTTTTGTTACCTAGCTTAATTTCCAGATCTAGCTCTCTGTGGATATGACCTCGATCTTACCGAGTTAATTGCTATATCGCACACTCGTGCACTTGCGAGCTAAAACAAGCCGATCATAAAAAGCGGTCAAGCAGATAACTAATTATTGAGTAGGTGACCACCTCTTGACTTGGTGACAACTTTTATCTTCTAGTCTAAACAAAACATTATTGCTAACATCGTACTTTGAACAAACGTTCTTCATAAAAGTTCTAGGCATTTGTCTCCTCTTTCTAACAAAAATAAGAATGAGCTCATTTGAACTTCTAGAACTTGAGATATAGGTTGAACACTATACAGTGTCTAGGTTATAGGACAGATTCTGACTTTTCCTTTGTTGCTACAATTTGAACTTCAAAACGACTCTTTTGATTCTTGGACTCTTCATGAAAGTTTTAGGCCAATGTTTTAGCTTTCCATCCATATAAAGCAAACCTAAATCTAAGTTCTACAACTCCGTTTATAATATAATAACTAAATGGTGTTCCAGTTTGAATTGAACCAGTATCTCTTTTTTCAGTTTGAATTGAACTAGTATCTCTTTTTAAAGCTTAGCTCTCTCTTTGTCATTTCACTTTCAATAGGTAAACACATCAATCAATCCTTTAAATTGTGAGATATGTCTGCATTCAAAATTAGCATTTACCATAAATTAAAGATATCTTATAAAACATGCACTTTTAAGTACTAATCACCCCTCAACCAGCTTATTACTAGTCCTTAGTAATAAAAGTGTTAAAACAATTTGCGACATTTAAAAGCAAGACATTCATCATTTAACTTCCATTAATCTATCCAAATAAATAAATTCTCTTTAAATTTATATATTTGCTTCATACTTCTTAAAAAAATATTAATAAACCTTCTTTTTATGTGGTCAATGTATGAAAACATAGATTATTGGGCTTTTCTTGGAAAACAAATAATATTATGTTCTAATGTTTTTCTAATGTTAACTCCATTGGGTTGAGATTACTATTATTATCTCTTTTTCTTTATTATTATTATTATTATTATTTTGAAAATAAAACATAATTTATCTTTAACCCATGTAGTAAGCTTTAGGTTAATAACTCTCAAACTAGTTGGTCTTAGGACATTAGGTGTTAAGACACCCTTTCGAGCTTTGTAACTCGAGTTGCAGATACTAATATGTAGATAGTGCAATGTATGATTTCCTTTAGCTTTTCTCCCCAACCTATATGACAAACTTTAGGCCAATAGCTCCTAAGTCAGTTGACTTCAGGGTATTAGGTGTTAAAACACCTCTTCAGCCTTAGTTGCTTAAGTCAAGCACACTTAGAAACCACACTTATCTACTTTTTTATTTATTCATTTTATTATCGATTTGTTTTTGTTTTTGTTGTTGTTTTGTTTTTTTTTCAAATTATATATTATCTATTTCCCTTAGTTGTAGTCTTTAACCAAAGAACATAAATAATGTAATATTCCAATATGCAACCCACAATCATATATTGAAGTGTGTGTGTGAAAATGAAAGTTTAAGAATACTTGTTGTTGTTACCTAATTTTTGACCCACCTATTTGATAAAAGTTTTAAAAAAATCCAAAAATAGAGAAAGATAAAAAAAATCCAAAAAAAATACGTTTTTAATATATTTGTATCGTTTTTAGTATTTTCAGCATCGTCTCAAGAGAATTTAATTTTTTAAAGGTCTTTTGAAAGCATTCGACTTTTCACGCATCATTTTTAAAATCCTTGATTCTCATTAAGTAGACGTTCATATTGCTCATTTTCAAAAAAATACAAGAAAAATCAAAATTTACAAAAAAAAAGTTGAGGGACCAATTTTGAGGCCTAAACACCTTTAAATATAGGTCCACAACTCAAAACATGAGGGGGGAGGGTAAATTTGAATATTTAGGAGGGAGGCAACACAAAAAACAAAACCCTAAAAAAAAAGTAGAACTTTTTCTTCTCCCTCACATAAAGGAGCTACCGCCCCCCCCACCCTTTTGATTTTTTTTTTCTTCTCCCTCAACCATCCACAGTCAATCTTCCCCCCCTCACTAGACTGACCCCAGTCTTCTCCCCTCAACTGCAAGCCTCACTTTCAACTACAAGATAGCCCCCTCATCTCCATCCCATTGTTCCCTTCCAGCACCAAACCTTCCCTTTCGGGCAACATAGACAGAGATCAGCTTCTACACCTCCCCACAACAGCCAGCCACTACATTTTTCTTAGTTGATTTTTGCCACCAACAGCAGCAGCGCCGTCCTCACCAGTGAGCCAGCAGCCCACACATGGCAGTGCTGGGGCAACACTCTTCTTCATCTTCTACAAACAGCATCCTACTCGCCTCCTCACTCTACCAGCACCCGCAGACCCAACAGCCTCCAGCAGCGGCCCAAACACAGCGGCATCTACAGATCATCAGCCATCCTTCCTCCTCCTGCCAACTACCCAAAACGGAGGGGAAGACAAAAAAAACCCATAGAAGAGCTGATCTGCAATGAAGCAGATCTAAAGGAGAAGAGAGAGAGGTAGATCTAAAAACCATGAAAGAAGATTAAAACAATTTGCCGGTTGTGTTTTTTTTGGTATTTTGCAGGTCACTACCGGCAAGGAGGGGAAGAAGAGAGGAAGCCATGACTAACCCTCTTGCTCGCCTGGGTTTTCTTGCGATGGCATATGGAGGAGACGCGCCACCATTGTTCCTGCAGTTGCAGAAGGCCTTCCTTATAATTTCTAGAGTTTTTAGGGCTATTTTGTAAATTTTAAATTGTTTAATGTATTTTTGTTTAGTTTTGAATTTTTATAATTTGTAGTGTAGATGTAACAAAAAAAAAAGAAAAAGAAAAGAAAAGTATAGTGAAAGTGAATGTGTTGTCTGTATTTGTTTATGAATGTTTTTTTTTAATGATAAAATTACAAAGAATAAAGAAGAATTTAATATTTTGATTTGGTCACAGTTATAGATTATGAACTTACACATAAGTTCTATTTCTAATACTCGATGAAAAGATTAAATTTTTAAAACTTCTTTAATACATTAAAGCCACGAAGCAGCTTACCTCAGGTAAGGTGCATTGAGGGTGCTAATACCTTCCCTAACCATAACCAGTCCTTTACCCATGAATCTCTAACAAAACCAGTACATTAGCTTTCCTAGTAACCCTCAATTAAATACTAGGTGGCGACTCCTAATGAATCAAAGCAAATGAGATGGAAAATCACCAACCAGATGTCACGCAGGTGACGTGCAACAGAATGGCAACTTCACTGGGGAAGGTGTTGTTTCTTACAATATTAGATTGAGCTTTATGTATTTGATGTGTTTAAGTTTTTGCTTTTTTATCCCTTTTTTGTTAATGTGTTTTCCATGTATTCTGTAGAATTGTCTCATGCATCATATTTTTTAATTTTTGAAAGCACACACAAGCTTTAGGTTAGGTGGGGTGATTAGTACTTAAAAGTGCATTTTTATCATGGTTTTATATCATCATTTTGCACTTGAAATATCAATAACTCCTTAACTAAAATATGTTTTATAATAATGTATCTAATAATATAAGATACCTATAATTTATGGTAAATATCTATTTTTAATGCAGGCCTATCACATAAATGAAAGGATTGATTGATGACTTGAAGAACTTAAATTGCAAGGATAAAGAGATGGCCAAACTTAGAAAAGAGATGTCGGTGCAATCCAAACCGGAACACTGTTCGGTAATTGGGTCATATCTAGAGCTATATATCTCAGATTTAGGTCCAATTTATATGGATGGAAAGGTAAGACATAGGCCTACAACTTTCATATGGAGCCCAAGATCTAAAAAGGCCATTATCAAGTCCAAATTGTAGCAACAACAAAGAAGCCCGAATCTGTCTTCCAGCCCGAGCACTGTTCGGTATTTTGGCCATATCTAGAGTTCTAGAAGTCCAAATGAGCTGAAGTTTTTACACAAGAAAGCTGAGACAATTGCCTACAACTTTCATGTTTACAACTGGCTCCAATTTTGACGTTATCAATGACGTTTTGGGCAGACAAGAGAAGATAAGGATTGTCACCAAGTCAAAAGTTGGTCACCCACTTATCAATTAGTCATCAAATCAATAGTTCCCATTTTTGGCCTATAAAAGGAGGCATTTGCCATGCATTTAGGCATCTTGATTTCCAGATCAAGATCATGCTCTTCCTTTCTCTCTTTGTATTTTTTATGCTTTGTTTTCATTAATATTAAGTTTATGCCTTTCATTTCCTTTCCTTTACTTAGTTAACTTTTATGTTCTTATTTTGTTTATCTATTTTGCTTTCTTTCATTATGTCTAGCTAAGTTAATTATGTCAAGGTGAAAAGGTTACACTAATGGTGTAAGAATAAGTATAATGTAAACTTAATATGGACTTTAATGTTTGATACTAACATGTTTTATATTTGCTATCTTGTTCACTCTTTAATACTTTGCTTGTTAAATGACTAATCTTGATTTATGTTATATAACACTTGGTACAACAAATGCTTGGCACTTTCATAGCCCATAATGTATGGTATAACCGACACCTGAGCTATGAAAGGAACTTGATTTGTTGTTAACATAAGTTATAATCATGAATGCTTGACGAGATTTACAAGTATTAGCATTAATTGAATAAGATGACTAATGTAATCATGTTAACAATATATAATCTGATTGGAACCTCCTTTGTGTGTGGTTTCCAATTCAATAATAAGAGTTTATACTATACTTGTTTGATATACCATTAGTGGAACCTCTAACCTTGACATTTGTTATTATCATTGTTTAATCGTTACATTAATATTCCATCTCAAAGTTCTCATCATCTTCTTCTTCTTCTCTTTCTTTATTATTATTATTATTATTACTACTACTACTACTACTACTACTACTACTACTACTACTACTACTACTACTACTACTACTACTACTACTACTACTACTACTACTACTACTACTACTACTACTACTACTACTACTACTACTACTACTACTACTACTACTACTACTACTACTACTACTACTACTACTACTACTACTACTA